GAAAAGAAATAGGAGAAGACATTAACAAATTGAAGAATATACCATGCTCATGGCTGGGAAGAATCAACATTGTTAAAATGTCTATACTACCCAAAGCAATCTAAATATTCAATGCAATCTGCATTAAAATGCCAACATTACATTTTTGAGAACTGAAAAAAAATAGTTATACATTTTGAATGGATCAAGAAAAAAAATTCATATTCCCAAAATAATTGTTAGTATTAAAAACAAAACTGGAGGCATCTCTACCAGACTTTAGGTTATATTACAAGTCCACATTGATTAAAACAACATGATATTTGCACAGAAAGAGACATAGACATACAACAATACTGAATAGAAAACAAAGAGATGAAATCAGCCTCTCATAACATATGATCTTTGATATACCAAACAAAACCAGACAATGGAGAAAAGAATCCCTATTCAATAAATGGTGCTGAGAGAAGTGGATAACCACATGTAAAAGACTAAAGCTGGATCCACATCTTTCACCACTTATAAGAATTGACTCAAGATGGATAAAAAGTTTAAATCTAAGACATGAAATGATAAAAATCCTAGAAAATAGTCTGGGGGAAAACTCTTGAGGATGTTGGTATAGGGAAAGATTTTATGAAGATGACTTCCATGGCAATTGTAACAATAATGAAGGTAAATAAGTTAGATTTAATTTAACTGAAAAGCTCTGCACAGCTAAGGACACAACGATAAAACAAAATAGACAACCTTCAGAGTGGGAAAAGATATTTGCATGTTATGCATCTGAAAAAGGATTGATAACTAGAATCTACAGAGAATTCAAATTAATCAACAAAATAAGAGCAAACAATCCTATCTATCACTGGGCAGAAACATAAACAGAACCTTCTTTGTCTAACAAACATAAGTAAAAATGCTCATAGTTCTTAATCATCACAGAAATGCAAATCAAAACCACCCTGGCTAACCCCAGTGAGAGTAGCCTGCATCACAAAGTCCAAAAGCTGCAGATGCTACAATGTGGATGTGGAAAGAGGGGATCACTTTTGCAATGTTGCTGGAACTGCAGACTAATACAGCCTCTTTGGAAAGAAGTATGGAGTATCTTCAAAGAACTCTAATTAGAACACCTATTTGATCCTGCAACTCATTAGTAGGCATCTACCCAGAAAAAAAAAAAAAAATTATCATAAGGACATTTGCACTGGATTGTTCACTGTAGCTCAATTTACGATTGCCAAGATGCAGAAAGAATCTAAAGGCCCATTGATTCAGGAATAAATTAACATACTGTGGTATACGTAGCCACCAAAAAAAGGGTGGAAACTTTATGTCTTTTATATTAACCTGGATGGAGTTGATACACATCCTCCTTAGTAAAATGTCACAAGAATGAAAAACCAAATATTTATGTAATCAATACTAATATGAAGCCAGTAGACTATCCAATACATGCCCACATAAGAGAAAAACTCAATTCAATTAAAATTAAGGGGAGGGAGAAAAGGTGAGGGGAAAAGGGGGAGGAGAAGAGATTGGTGTTCTCCCACTTAATGGACAAAATGTAAGGGTATTGGCACAACTTTTGGCTGTGGGACATGACAACAAGAGAGCTTCTACCTAACATGCAAATATTGTAACCCAGTTGTTTGTACCCTCACATAAACCTGACATATTGTGTGTGTATATATATATATATATTATAGATTTGTGCTTATATAACTTTAGAGAGCATAGGATTATGCCTCTCTATTGACCAAATAATTTGAATAACAAATGAAAAATTCAGTAAATTTCTTTTTAGAGTTTAATATAGTAATACTCTTTACATAGCCATTCATTTCCTTTTTAATTCTTATATTTCTGAAATAATATTTTTAATCACAGTGAATCTCTTATCACCTATCTAATCCCCACTGAAACGATTTTATCCACAATGGATATAACCTAGTTGTACTTGCACTGATTTTTTAAGACAATGATCTAATAAAGAAAGCACATTCTTTTATCCTCCTGGATTTCTTGCATTTTCTAAAGAGAAGTTCCTGATCTAAACTGAAGTCATCTTTAC